TTCCTTCTCAAGGGGATCTTCCCATCCCAGGGGTCAAACTTGTATCTTCTGCTTAGCAGGCAGATTCTTTATCACTGAGCCACCTGGGAAGCCTTCTAGTTAATTAGAATGTAATAAAAATATTCAGCAATAAAATGATATTGGATATAATCTTTCAGGACTCAGAGACTTTTACTCTATTGTAATGCTATAGGGTCATCATCATTATTTTTTATTATCATAAAAATCTGATAATGTGGGTTATGAGTTTGGCTGAATTTGTGCTTTATAACAGACAGTTTACTATATAACAGGCAGTCATCAGGCTTCACATTCTCTCTCTGTAGGACACATGGGATTACAGATTACAGTATCATGTAACGGAAGGGGAAACTGAGGCCCAAACCAGATAAATAGCTTGCTTGTAGTTAAATGATTACCAAGAGATGAAAATGGAATAGAAGTCATATCTGACTTTCATTCTAGTGTTTTCTCTCTCCCACTCTCTCTTTTTTAAATCTCACAGTTAAAGAGAGAACATATATGAGAGAGCTGCTGGGTTGAGTATTTTTCTGTCTGGAAAGGTAAGGACAAAAAGGGATATGATCAAAGTATAAACACTCCAAAGCATATCTTTAGGGAGATGATATTTTTCAGTCATCTTTGGAATTCACCAAGGATACTCCTTAGAAAAAGACCTATTTTCTAATACATTAAGAAGTAAGTTTATGAAACTTGTTTCCTGAATAGGTAGTTCAGATTAAAGTGTGAATACGTTTAGAAGACTCATGGATGTCAGTTTCAAAACTAGCTGTTAAGGAAAATAAGCAACTCATTTTTGGTGTTTGGCCCCAACCTTTGAAGCTAATTTGGAGGAAGGTACAGTATTCTGGCCTGGAGAATCCCATGGACAGAGGAGCCTAATGGGCTACAGTCATGGGGTCACGAAGAGCCAGACATGACTGAGCGTCTGCTCACACATGCACGCTCACAATCCCTCCCTTTTACCGCTGTCCTTCGGAGGCAAATCACAAACAGAATACAATTTGTTTGTCCCTGTGTGGATGGCTTATGATGATTATATGCATCATCCTTCTTCCCAATCCCGGGCTGTAGGATCTGCGATGTCTATAAAGAATGGCCTTCTGATATGAGCTCATGTCCCAGGAAATGTTGGTTGCCCAAGAGACGACCTGGAGACAAACGTGAGATGCCTGTCTGGATCCCTACAAAGGACGCAAGGTCACGAGAGCACAGGTTGTAGTTGGTGGAGGTGGGGGAGGGGCTGGAGCAGATGTTCCCCAGGAGGGAGGAGAAGCAAGCGGAGTCCAGGCAGGGGACCTGGAAGCAGGCAAGGCTCCTCTGAGAGCCTGGTGGTTGGACAACAGCGAGCACTCAGAGGCCATTTTTTAGGTTGGTTGTCACTACACTCTGCCCATGGGGACCGCGTGTGTGTACAGGTGCATCCCACTCGTCATATGATTACCATGCTAGACACGGAGGGTTGCATCACATGCGCACTGTTCCTCCAGCCACTTTTATCCTCCCCTCTGCCACAAGGAAAAAGCCCTGGAGGGACTGTGATGTGCATACACCCAGTGTTTTCTCATTTGGTTTCAGCTCCCCCTGTAGCATTACTGTCTTGCTCACTTGGAATAATTCTAAAGTTTGAAGACACACCTACAAAGTAGTATGCAGAGACAGGCAGGCGGGCACACACATGCACACACTTATTTTGACACAACGTGGCCCCTAAATATAACCCTGCCGTCTCAGTTGAAGAACGGGCTCATACCCTAACACAAGAAGAAAAACCAGCTGCTGGGTTTGGCAGATTGAGAAACGGTAAACGGGCCCTCCTAAGGACTTTAAATGTAAGTCTGATATACGTGGTTGTCACCTGTGTCTTCACTTTGGGACCTAATCCCCACATAAGGCACAACACGGTTTCTCTGTTCTTGGCCTCAAGATGATTGTGTAGCACGTGATAAATCATGAGAATGTTCACAAAGTTAAGGAAAGCTCTGTTTTTAAGAGAGTATCCACAAGAAGAGCAATACAAAGATTCTGAAGTAACTCCAGGACAGTATAAACCATTGGACTTTGGTGTCAAGTGTGACAGGAGGTTAAAACTGGTACTAGTTTCACCCAGTTTAGACAATAGATACCACATTCCATAGTGAAGCTCCAGCCCATCTTGCAAGACTTGAAAGGGAATTTTGAAAACTAGTTTTGCTGCCTTTGGTGGACTACTTGCCTCCAGCCTGAAAAAGGGGCCAAGAAAAAAAAAAAAGGGAGAGGAGGATTTTATTGTTGTTTAGTTGTCATATCTGACTCTTTGCGACCCCACAGACTGTGGCCTGCCAGGCTCCTCTGCTCATGGAATCTCTCAGGCAAGAATACTAGGTGGCCATATCTTTCTCCAGGGGATCATCCCAACCCAGGGATCAAACCCGTGTCCCCTGTGTCTCCTCCATTGGCAGGCAGGTTCTTTACCACTGAGCCACCGCGGAAGTGGGGAGATGAGGATGCTGTGGGTTATATCTTTCACCACCCTACTCCCAAAGTAGAGGACTGATAGATGCCCGCTTCTCACTTCTACCTTTGGGAAAGGGGCTGCAACGGACCACTTTCAGGGTGTCCCCTAGGGCTTGAGAGACATAGCCATCTGGGCCTGATGACAGCTGAGGAATATGGAGGTTGGGTGACTGAGGCTGGCTAGCTGCTCCAATGGAGGAGTGATAGAGAGATGCCCTTTTGGGACTGGAGTTTCTCAGGGCAAAACAGTACCCAAGTGTTTCCCATGTTTCAGCTGTCAGCCACTGGTAAGTGTGAGTGATGAGGGTTTCTGCTGGTTCTGTTTCTCCCAGTTCCTGTCGAAGGGAGCTTGCTGGGCTGTGGAGAGGCTCTTGGTAGAAAGAGACTAGAATATGTGTTGCTGCATGTCTAGGAGCCATGGGGCTGAGCAGATGGAAAAATAATGCAGTTCCCTGTGCCTGGGGTACAGTAGGTGAGAGATGCTCAGTGAGGACACGGCAGGTAATGTGAGAGGGAAAAGACCTTTGGGAAACCAGGAAAGGCCTCAGAAGAAACAGGAGGATGTTTTAAACACCTACCAAGACCAGAGTGCGGAGCCCAGGTCAGAAGGGTACTGGTCTATAAGAATGTTCTGGCCACCTTACCTACATCCCCTAAATCACAACCTATAGAAGTCAGAGTGTGGTTGGGGTTAGGGATGGAGGGGAAGACGTGCTGGGTGGTGTAAGAAGGGAGAAGATGGTCATGTTCCTACTTCCTGCTGGAGGGGCCTGCCATATGGTTGGCCTCAGCCGAGCGAGGGAGATGTAGACTGAAGTATGAATCATCATCTTCAACTGGACATATTAATTGCTGAACTGAGATGGATTTAGTATCCAGAAGCAATCAGAGGGCTTGTCTTTGCTGAGCGTGATGAGAAGAGTTGTGAGATCTGCCCTTGTTTCCAGCCCGAAGAGAACTAGCTCCACCACATGAGTTTGAACAGTAAGAGACCAAACAAAGCTGGTCTAGGATTGAACCTCACGAGTCTTACTCTTTCAGTATAATTGCTATACCAGCAAAAGAGAAAAGCTGAAGTATCCATTCCAAAAGGACCCATTATAATTCATAGTAAACACAGAAAGTGGAAGTGAATTTGGTGAGTCGGTCTTTTCCCCAAAGTTTTTACAAATATACACGTAAAAGAATAGGTATTTACCTTTTTTGCTACTTCAGCTAGCAGAAGGGTCTTTCCAGTGCACGGTCCACCGTATATAATAAGAGGGCTGATGTGCCCAGTTTTGCTTGGGAGAATGTATGTATGCACGATGTTTAGAGATTCACATTTGTACTCGTAGAAGGAGGCATATGTTTTACATAAGGATGAATGCTGAAGAATTTCATCATAGAGCGTATCCGTTTCTGTGTCAAAATTCTGTTGTACCGTGGCCTGAATTATGTCAATCATATCCTCATAAAATTGTTTACCAAGTCCTTCTATGTAATGGTTTTCTATTTCTTGGGAATAGCCTAGTTTCATGTCACAATGAGTAACAGATGTGTACACTCTCAGATTAGATGAAGCAACAATGGTAGGAATAAATTCATCCCTGAGTTTTATCAGCTTCTCTTGTGCTTCAGGGTCCCGAATAATTCTCGGTTCTGTTCCAGTTATGTCCATGTATTTTCCCATTTCCGGGATTTTCACGAAACGCTCAATGTTAGCAATTTTCCTAATATAGCAAACACACTTCTTCAGGAATGCTGGAGTTTGCTTTCCTAGAGCAAAATCAAATTCATCCTCTATCGCTGAAAGAAAATACAACAAGGAGTTTACTGTCTAGAATCAAGAAGCAACGCACCCACGCTTCTAGCATGTGACTCTCAAGTCAGTAGTGGTAGTTTATTTTGCTTATAGTGTGTAGCTGAGTCATCTTTAGAATAATTTCTCAAGTCCTTAATTTCCTATTTGTCTTTTCCTAAACAGCCTGGATCCCAGAACAATGGATTCTAAATAAAATTGTTTAATTTCCTCCAAGACCTGAGGGAGAGGTTGAACATAATCATAAGAAGGCAAGCATGCTGAGTTTATAGTTGCTTCTTCTAAGTTCCCGCTTGGTTTCCCTCCCAGCCTCCAGAGGTTCTAAGAGTGGAGAGCAGGAACTAACTAATGAGGAAGAGGCCACATGATATATCTGGTCTATTTCTTCCTCATGGGTCACTACTCCATTGTGGTTTCACCATTTTGATTGAGATGCATATACCCCAGACATATATGTGTAAATATAAATGTACAAGCATGTTCAAAATATAATTATGTGCTAATTTCATTTATCCATTATCCATGTCATTGTTAACTCCCATTACACCCATCAGAGCAGGAACAAGAAAATGACTCAGTATGTAACTTTATTTCTTCTGAGATAAAACCATGTTAGGGCTTACAGTACATATGCTCACATAAAAGTAAATATACTTTTTAAATCATTTGAGGCCCTATAAGAACATTTAAAATTGTATCAGTGCTAGTAAAAAGCAACAATTAAGCACAATTTTAGGGAAAAAAATAAAATAATTAAACCAATGGACATGAATTTTAAAATAAGCAGTCTTTTAAAACTTGTTTTCTTCCCTCTGCTTTTCTTTATCCAGTTTGTCTTAACTGAGCATCTGCTATGCACCAGGCATGCTGCTAGTTGCTTAGGATACAGCGGTGGGAGAAAACAGAATGCTGAGAGAAAAAGCTATTATGAAGCTTATAGTCCAGTGGGGGATGGCAGACATGAATGACAGAGTCCCACAAATAAATGTATTATTTTTACGCCTGGGAAGTTGAATGACATGGTGCCTTGAGAGCAAACAATTGGGAAATCTAATCCACTTGGAGAAGTCAGGGAAGGTTTTCTTAAGATGATGACTGCTGGGCTGGGATCTGGTGGAAGCTTGGGGGTAGGAGATGGGGCTGGTTCTAACTTAGACCATCTCAATATACTGGCCACACCTCCAACATCAAGCAAAAATGAAACACAGGTATATTCTATAAAGTAACTATTAAGGGAGGTGGGAATTTTATTTAAAAGTGGTACCTTTTAGCAGAACTTCTGTGATAGTATTTTTTCAGTAATGATAACAATTGATAAAGATTTGTGATCGAAGGAAAAGAGATGTGTTTATATCCACCAGTGTTGAATAAGCTGTGCCATTCACACCAGTATAGTTTTGTTTTTGTTTTTAATTTTATTTATTTTTGGCTGCGCTGGGTCTTCGTTAGTTCACATGGGCTCTATTTAGTTGCAGCGCGTGAGCTGCTCGTTGTGATGGCCTCTCTGGTTGCAGAGCCCAGGTTCTAGAGCATGCGGGCTTCAGTGCTTGTGGTGTGTGGGCTCAGAAGCTGTAGCACACTGGCTTAGTTGCCCTGAGGCATGTGGAATCTTCTTGAACCCATGTCCCCTGCACTGGCACATGGACCCTTAACCACTAGACCACCAGGGAAGTCCCAAATCAATACGTTTTACCAAAGGTTTTATTCAGGAAAACTGCATCAAGAGGCCAGATTAGGAAGCTTATATAACATATGCCTCCTCTTCTTTTTGCAGAAGAGTAAAAATTTGTTATCATGTGGACAGGGGAAGAGGCAAGAAATTTGGATATTCTGAACTCCTGCAGAAAGCAGCCTTTGGTCCATCTCTTGTCCAGCCATCTGTGTTCCACCAGGGAAATCCCTCTATCTGGTATTCTTATTTGAAGTTTTCTGAAAATATTAAAGTAAAATTGTAGTGTAAACCCTGACAGTTTTTTTTGGGGGGGGTTGCGTGGGACACTGTTTGTTTATAATGCAAGTGTCTGACTTGAGCTTTGATTGCTGGGGCATCCACTTCAACAACACCTATCTTGAATAAATGCATTAACAGCCACACGTATAGAGCAGGCCAGTTCCCCTCACCGAGACTCCTTTGTTTAAGAGCTCTTGGTGGACTTCAGTAACTAACCTTTCCGGCCACTAGTTTTTCTCTCTTCCTGAGCTTTAAATTCCCACTTTTATGTTTTGCATTTGCCAGTAAAGAGTGAGCCCAGTCAAAGCAAAACCCTCGGTGTGTGCACTCTGTCTCTCTCTCTCTCTCTGCTGTGACCTTGCAGTGTGGCTTTAGATGTGCTTTGTAATTTCCAGGTCCTATAAGTAATGTGTATGTGCTCAGGCATGTCAGACTTTTTGTGACCCCGTGGACTGTAGCCCTCCAGGCTCCTCTGTCCATGGGATTCTCCAGGCAAGAATAACTGGAGTGGGTTGCCATTTCCTTCTCCACTTATAAGTTATAAGCCTTTATTTTTCCAAAGTTATCTGATGGTGATTGCTGAAGAGTATCTTGCAATCCTAATAAGAAAGAAAGAGGCTGGTCTAACTACCACATTGGTTATTGATAGACAGACACAAAACAAATATACTCTATCCATTTCAAAGAGCTGGCCCCTCTTCAGCAATTTTCACTGTGCAAACTTGGTCTTAAAATGAGTTGGAATGTAAAATAAATTAAAATTTCATGAGCATGCATATCTTTTAGAGATGTAACCCCAAACAGAAAATAGTCCAGGTATAGTATTTCATGCTACCTAGGACAAAATTATTAATCTTCATAAGACGATCCATGTGGATCAAGTTCTTTATTGTGGAGAAAATTAAGAGAAAGTAGTTGCCTATGAATTTTTTAAAACTTGGGCTGTCTAACTCTAAGTCAGAGGATGCCCTCCCCAACTGGTGTCTCTTACATCAAGAATAGGAGAGTGTTTGCTCTTGGTATTTTTTTCCTGATACAGCACATTTTTTAGGAATAGGGTAGTTTTGTCCTTGATAAAGACAAAGAACCAGGGCTTCAAAAATGGATCAAAAAGATCCCAGAGGAATAAGGATATATGTTAACCTGTATATTCTAAAGATAGTACTTATTCCTGCTGATTTTAGCATTTTTAGGGAGAACTAAAATAAGACCTAATTTTTTACATCTTCTGGAGAATGAATTTGTCAAAATTATTCATACGTTCTCTGAGGTTGACATACAGGCATATCTAGCGTGAATGGTATCAAGTGCTTCTTAGGTTTTCACAAACATTTTGCCACATCATTCACAAAACCAGTCTGAAAATGCAACTGCTATTGCTTTTTCTTCAATAATTCTTTGCTATCACCTCTTAAAATAAATGCTACTTAACCGATTACTTTACCTAGGAGTGTTAGTCACCTGGAAACTATGACTGACATATTCCTTCAGATATGTGATTTCCTATGCAATTCCTAAAAATAAAGCCTCTTTTCCACAGCTGAAAAAGGCCCACAAGTGAGTCTCTGCTCAGTAGTTAGGGATATTTTTTATTTTAAGGCTAATCTAGATCCTGCCACTCCCTTATTTCCCAACCTCTGATAGCTTCCCATCTTACGCAGTGATGGAAGACATTTTCACAGACTGAAATATGAGGAAGTCATTCTGGCTTATACCTGATTTGGGTTGAACTGTATGTTAAATAGAACATCCTGTCTTCTGGCCCATCAAAAATGCATTGTACATCTGATTTGACCACTAAAGAAAAGAATACATCTAAAAATCAAAATTGATTATCTATGATTCAGGCATCTAAAATGGAACCAGTGGCCATTGTGTATGTGGTTTCAGACATTTTTCTTGCATCATTGAGAACTTGAATTCTCTGAACTGTATCAGATTGAAGACCACTACCAGTTCATTCTCAAAATAATATCTGCTAGCAGCTGCCTAGGTCTCAAGGTCTACCCTTGTAACTATGTGACCATTTCAGACCCCAACCAGTCCTTATCTGACATGCATCCTGACTTCTTGCCAGCTCTAGTTATAATTCTTGATAAACAATTTGATAGAGTGACTACTGTAACTTTGTGATTTTTGCCTCTATAAGCCTCCCTCATTTTGTAGTCAGGCAGAACACAATTCAAGTGCTTCTTGAATTTGTCTCTCTCAGGCTACAGTCCTCAGTTTGACTTGAATAAAACTCTATTTTATTCCTATTATAGATTGTTTATTGATTATTTCTGTTGTTATTATGGCCTGTGCCCACCTTCTAACCTCATCTCTCCTTCTCTGAGCTTGGCAACCTTTACCTTCTTCCTGCTCCTAGAACTTGCTTAGCACATTCTTGTCTCAGGAGTCTTGAACCTGGCAATCCCTCTGCCTGGAATTCTCCATTTTAGATATGGCACTGCCAGCTCTGATTCATTCTGCCATTTAGCTCAGAGGTCATTTCCTTATCATCTTCCCTATCTAAATCTCAAGACCTCCACAGCCTTCATCAGGCTATTACTGTGTTTTATTCATAGCACTTATCCTTTCTGAAATGATATTATTCATCTATTTGATTACTTGCCTATCATTTATTTCCTCCTCACTAAACAATAAGCCCTGGGAGAGCAGAAACCTTGCCTTCTTCATCATTGTTGTAGCCCCAGCGCCTGGCATATATATGCCCTCAATAAATGTTTGCTGAGCAAGTGAATTAATGAACAGTTCAACTGAGAAATACTGGCAGAGTCTGTTCTATTATATCCAGCCTCCTCTGACTTCTTTTAAAGTCATATTTTTGGAGAATTCCTCAAGATAAGTAAGTAAAGGCTTATCTTTGAGTAAAAAGATTACTTGTCTCTCCAGGAGATAAAAACATTTAGAAAAATTAAATTTCATCAGGCAGTAAATACTATTAAATTTGCATAACCATAAAAGGTAACAGTGAATACATCTATCAATGATCAATTCCTCAGTTTACTGAAGATGCATAAAAATTTACCTGAGAACAGGTACCTCTTGGCTTGGCTGTGTTTCATCTTCCCCCTTTCATGTAACAGTTTTACAGCAGTCTTAAATATCTTCTTGATCTCATCTGATATCTCTTGCCAGGTCTTCTCATTCTCAGCATTGGCAGAAGGCTGCATCTTTAGAAAAGTGAAAGTGAGATGTCAGTCTTAAAATCATCAAGAAAACCCAATATTTAAGAGGAAGAGAACCATTGTTTGAAAGTCTACCATGGGCCTTACCATGACAGGTGCTTAATGGATAGTATCTCATTTACTCTCCCTAGTACCCTGAAAGTGATGTGAACTTGCCCAAGTGACACAAAAGTGTGAATCCAAACAGGATTTGTTTGTTTGATTTTCTCAATATATTGTGTGTTTCACTCTTGAGTTTTGATACAAATGTTGTAACAAAATCATCTCTTCAATACAGTTAAAGGTCAGACTAGTCAAAAGGATGGTTTTTCCAGTAGTCATGTATGGATTTGAGAGTTGGACTATAAGAAAACTGAGCACCAAAAAATTGATGCTTTTGAACTGTGGTGTTGGAGAAGACTCTTGAGAGTCCCTTGGACTGCAAGGAGATCCAACCAGTCCATCCTAAAGGAGATCAGTCCTGGGTGTTCATTGGAAGGACTGATGCTGAAGCTGAAACTCCAATACTTTGGCCACCTCATGCGAAGAGTTGACTCACTGGAAAAGACCCTGATGCTGGGAAAGATTGAAGGCAGGAGGAAAAGGGGACGAGAGAGGATGAGATGTTGGATGGCATCACTGACTCGACAGACATGAGTTTGAGTAAACTCTGGGAGTTGGTGATGGACAGGGAAGCATGGTGTGCTGCAGTCCATGGGGCTGCCAAGAGTCGGACACAATTGAGCAACTGAACTGACTGACTCATATGTTACTATTTAATTGTCTTTAGTTGTTTCTTCCTCATTTATTTTTTATTATCCTCTAGGAAATAAAATAGGAGTGCCTCCCAAGAAAGTAACATTTATAGAGTCTTGCTGATAATCTTATTCAAACAATCATTTACTTAACAACAATTTATGCAGAAACATGGTTCAGCCAATAATTTAAATTTCCCTAGAGGCTCATAGAATCAAAGAAAGAAGGAACAGCTAAAGCCAATTAAATACAGGTGTAAGTTTTACAGCTTTGAAAAACTGGTTTCCTGAGGTTTCATGTTTTTTGGTATCTACTTTACCAGCCATTGCCTTTACTCCTGGCATATTTACCTGGCGAATGGTTTGGGATTTACCCCAGTATTCTTCATATTCTTCCAGATAATGACTTTAAAAAAATACATGTGAGGAAGAAAAAGAAGAACTGAGTAATCCGACATGATTTCATTTTGCATGGAGAAGATGCTTTCCGTTAAATGTCAGAGTGGCCGAAACACAGGGGTCTTAACTGAAGAACTGTTGCTAACCCCGGGCTCGTCTCCTCTTGCAGCTCCTGGGTACTGCATTAGCAAGGATATTTTCTTTGGAAGAGGAATGGATTTCTAAGCCTTCTTTTCTTTTTTACATTTTATCTTTTTATTTATTTGGCTGTGCAGGCTTTCTCTAGCTGTGGCAAGTGAGGGCCACTCTCTTATTTGCAGTGGGCGGGCTTCTCTTGTTGCGGAGCCTGGACTCTAGAATGTGCGCTCAGTAGTTGTGGTGCTTGGGCTTAGTTGCCCTGAAACATAAGAAATCTTCCTGGACCAGCAGTCAAACCCACGTCCCCTGCATTGGCAGGAGGATTCTTAACCACTAGGCCATCAGAGAAGTCCTATGGCTTCTTTTCAACCTCTTTAAAAGGTCTAGGCAATAATTAGGCCCACCTCTTTTCTCCACCTCCTTCATTCAGTTTCAGGGGACATATGATGGATACATTTGGGAACAAAGTTGGAGAAGAGACAATGACTGTGTTTCTATCACACTCATGTACGCCTCAACCTCTATGCAAGGTTCTACATAAGACATAAGAAAATAAATTAACAAAACCGAAAAAAACACAAAAAACAAAACAAACAAAAAAATAAATTAACAATGTATGAAATGTTAAAGGAACATACTGAATTAAAAAAAACAAACTAGAGGCTATAAAAAATAACTTTGCAGAGCTTTAAAAGACTGCCGCCTCAAAAGAAATCTTTTACAAATTAAAAATATAACTGTTGAACTTGAAGACTCAATGCACAGAGGAGACACAGCTGAAGAAGAAATTTGGTAAACTGGAAAAAAGATCTAAAGTGACTTTCCAGATAGTAGCACAGAAAGCAGAGAAGGCAATGGCACCCCACTGCAGTACTCTTGTCTGGAAAATCCCATGGACGGAGGAGACTGGTAGGCTGCAGTCCATGGGGTTGCAAAGAGTTGGACACAACTGAGCCATTTCACTTTCATGCACTGGAGAAGGAAATGGCAACCCACTCCAGTGTTCTTGCCTGAGAATCCCAGGGACGGGGGAGCCTGGTGGGCTGCCGTCTAAGAGTTGGACACAACTGAGCGATTTCACTTTCATGCACTGGAGAAGGAAATGGCAACCCACTCCAGTGTTCTTGCCTGAGAATCCCAGGGACGGGGGAGCCTGGTGGGCTGCCGTCTATGGGGTCTCACAGAGTCAGACACGACTGAAGCGATTTAGCAGCAGCACAGAAAGATAAGGAAATTGATAATGAGAAAGACAATCAAGAGACATGGAGGATACAGATGCAAACTATTATATATGGGATGGATAAGTAACAAGGTCCTACTGTGTCACACAGGAAACTATATTCAATATCCTGTGATAAACCATAATGGAAAAGAATATGAAAAAGAATGTATGTATATGAGTGTGTGTGTGTGTGTGTATATATATACATATATATATATGTATAGCAATCACTTTGCTATACAGCAGAAATTAACACACTGTAAATCAAGTATAGTTTAATAAAATTTAATAAATTTTAAAAAAGAAATATGGAGGATAGAGTGAGGCAATCTATTATACATGTAACTAAAGAGCAAAAAGGAAAGAAGGAATAGAGGACAGTATTTGATGAGATGATGGCTGAGAATTTTCTAAAACTGATAGAATATATGAATTCACAAATGTAGGAAGCACAACTATACCAATTGGAATATATATACGTTACAGTGAGATGATAAAAATACACATATTTTCAGATAAGCAGAACTTATCACTCTTTTGGAACTTCCAAAAGATATACTTCAGGAAGAAGGAAATGACTCCAGAAGGAAAGTCTAAGATGTCAAAAAAGAAAGGTGAATTTGGAAGATTTCTTAGCTTTGGATTTAGCTGTTAAAAGGAAATTTAGGGTCCAGGGCAGAATAACTTTCTGTCTGCTGTGCCTTTTCTGTGGAGAAAAACTACCCCGGGTGACATAAACAGTTTAAAAATGTAGCGAGAGACACAGTTTGGAGAGAAAGCTAACTCAACTGCATTTTTACTGCTTTGCAGCGTTTCTGATTTGGGTCTGAGGTAATACGCGGCTGGCACCGAGTTCTCATCCCGGCAATACCACTCTTCCAGTAACTTGGTGTCCAGCTCCGCCTCTGTGGCAGCGTCCAGGATCATCTCAAACTCTGAGGCTTCAACTTCTCCGGGGATTCGGATGTTCCCATATTTTTCACCTAATAGTCCCTGTGTATCACCAAGAAAATTCAGTTTAGTGTATCACCAAGAAAGCCTGTTTTAGTGTTCACATCATATGACCACGCAATAAATATTAATGAATAGATAACAAGATACTTTATTCCATCAATTGTCTCTCTTAATCACAGTGGATATGTTTTCACATGGATTATTTTGTAAGTAAAATTAGACCATTTATATTGTAGTATAATAAATTCACATACTGGGATTGCATATTGGACAAATCCAAACTACGGAATTTTGTAACAAAGAAATTTCCCCAGAGTTTACATAATGTAACAAAAGTTACCTATTTTGAGAATTTTGGTTGGTTCATGCCAAAGAAAAATGAAGTGTTGGACTCTGAAATATCAAACATATAAACTCCCAAACAAAAATTGCTTTGTATAGAGTTAATAGTTTGATTCTAAGCCCCAGATTTACACAGCTACAAATGAAAGAAGTATGAAATCACTGAATATGACAGATCCCACTGGTAACTGAAAAAAATAAAAAATATAAACAAGATATCATTTTGTCCCTATTAAACTAGCAAAGGAAAATGTGCTCAGTGTTATATGGACATATAATGTAGAGCTGATGGGTGTGTAAATTGATCCAGTATTTCTTTGAAATTTGTATTATTTCTAATAATACATACTAAAAGACTTAAAATACATGAGTTTTGGCAATTTTTGTTCTGGAAATCTGTCTTTAGAAAATAAGGATGTATATAATGAATCATCAGCATATTTATGTTGAACCTGTTTGAACAGAAAGGAGTTGAACCTAAGTGTCCAGGAAGTGGGAACACTTGAATACATTTAAACATAATTTGGTATCTCTATTCAAAGGATGTGCCAAATTATGTTTTAGAACTCTATTGCTATAGAAAGATGTTTATAATATATTATTAAGTAAAAAGGTAAGTTACAAAGCAGTATGTATAAGATGAATCTGATACTGTATATACATTATATATATATGAGAAAGAGATCATATATATGTACAGACATAAACATCACATATACACATAGAGATTTTATAAGAATACACAGCAAGGTTACCAATGGTGACTTGTCACTGAATGGTTTTAAATATACTTTGGTTGTTTTATGAATTTATTGCTTTTGTATTAAATTTTTTTTGCAATACATATGTATTATTTTATAGTGAGAAAAACTACAGATATTTAACATTTTTAAGCCTTATGATGCTGTCTGTACTCCTTGTGGAGCAACACATTCAAAGGCTCCTCTAAGTGTTTGCTTAAGCGCATGGTTCTCAAAATGTCCTCAGCCCAGCACCATCTGTGTTATCTGGGAATTTGTTAGGCATGCAAGTTCTCAAGGCCCATCTCAGACCTCCTGAATCAGAAACTCTGCTGATATAGCTGAGTTTAATCTGTGTTTTAGCAAGCTCTCCAGGTGTCTGAACCACTGGTGTAAGCTGTCAAAAATATTAGCTTACATAGCACCTGGTGTTTCAATTAATCTTCAGTGTCTTATCTGGTAGAAATAGAAGGAACATGCAGAATTCTAACACAGATCTATATTATCCAAGACATGTTGGTCTGCTTTATAATATCCATAGGAAGATTTCTGTTTAATTTGTGGTCATCTTCATCCTTTCTTCCTGTTGACCAGCACCTTTGTCATAAGCTTCCACTACTGGAAGTCTACCCACTGGAAGGTGAATCATATTTTGGCTCCCTTGGGAGCATTTCTTACTATCTCTGCAACCCAGAGTGTTCTTTTCATCTCAGACAGGCAGGTGGGAGAATAAAAGTCCTGGATAGACCTGTTTCCTACATAAATTCATGACCTAAGCTGTAATATAAGATGATAAACCTCACGAGGGCAGAGACCAGAGCTCTTTATTCCTAACACATAGAAAGTATTAAGAAGCACATTTATCGACTACTTGAACGAACCAAGACAGAGGAAGATCTCCTTGGAGTTTGTTCTATTCTTATTTGAAACTTCATCTTTTGTGAAAAGATGGTATTTTAGCTCTCAGCAGGTAAAGTAACAATTTGGGAAAGTACCAGTTTTGTCAGCAACCTTCACTTCAATCCTGAACACCAATTAAGAGCACTTTTATTTGAATCTGCATTTGTTTGGGGCTATTCATGACAACAGGCTGTATGCAACAAAAATAATACCATTTAGACGTGTTTTTCACTTAACAATTCCTCTTCTAAAATCTCTTGTGTTAAATTTGGCTAAACGAGCAGGCACGGCCTCTCATTCTACCACAGATACAGGCGGAGATGATCCTTTTACGGGGAGCCTGGTGAATGGGCTACCCTGGTGGCGCAGATGGTAAAGAATCCGCCTGCAAAGCTGGTTCGTTCCCTGGGTTGGGAAGGTCCCCTGGAGGAGGGCATGGCCACTCCCATATTCTTGCCTGGAGAATCTCCATGGACAGAGGAGCCTGGTGGGCCGCAGGCTATGGGGTCACAAAGAGTCGGACATGACTGAGTGGCTCAGCACAGCACAGCCTGCTGAGTATCCTATTCCTCTTGGCTGATTCTGGATAAGGATAGTCAGGATCTTCAGTCAGAAATATCTGTCATGAAGAGTGAGGTTTTCATGCTGGGAGAGTTAGCCGCAAACTTACCTGGGCAAGGGAGGGACTAAGTGGACTTCCAAACAGTAGGCGTAGGACTTTTTGGACGAATTCCCAAAGCAAACAATGGAGTTTGGTCATTGGGTGAAAGACTTGGTAAACAGCCAGAACATTAAATATGGGGTTTACTAATTGACAATTCTTTAGCCAGCAACCAATGAAGCCTAAGAATATGACGGACTCAGCAACCAAGATCCAGGGAAATACCAGCTGGATTTCAGGCATGAAGTAGGAAAGAGGACATAATAGCAACTAGTGAAACAAGCTCATGTCCCAGGGAAGGACCATCATCTCTATATTATCAATTTATTGTTGGTTCTTCATCTTCTCTCTGCTCTAAATAAGGCTGGTCACAGAGTCTAGGCCAGGATCAAATCTATGGATCAGTTTCTGAAATATGTTTTGTGATGACATGCACCACATCACCCAGGGTGTTTGTTAGCAGGTTACAAGATTCCTTCTCAGACCTAAGGACCACTGGGCTTGGGGAACCTAGAACTCTGAATTTTAAAATGTGGTTACAAATGAATCTATTGATTCCTCAATAGTCTTTAAGGACCACTTGCTATGGGCAATGCATATGTGGTCTCGTGAATGATGGTTCGCAAGCACCAAAGGGACAGGACAGGGAACAGCAGATCATTACAAAAAAAAAAATCGAAGGCTATTTAAAAATAATTATTTGAGCTGAACAGCTGGCACAAAATACTAACATTATTTGATCAGTATAGTAAGGTAAAATATTCCTTAGAGTGGAGATTACTAAAGAAGAAAAAATATCCTTATCCCATTCAAATAACAGATTATATTGAGTGCCTGCTATATATAAAGTGCTAACACAGAACTTCAGAAAAGTAATAATGTGAGATAGGCTTAAAGTTACTTATTGGATTCTTCTCCCCAAGTCTTTGCCTTCTCTCTATTGATTCTTCCTTTGGGTAGGATGCTCATAAATCATGAAGCAGTTACTTCTCAGGAGTCCCAAATAGGATTCTGTCTCAGTGTTATCTCACTCTCTGAAAAATGGCAAAAAGAGAAACTGTAAAAAGGAAGTTGCTACCACACTTTTCAGGAAGACTTTCTGGGGTTCTATGTGGCTACAGTTAAAAGGTAACACACACAGCATACCTGCATCTGTCGGGAATGGCAACAGTCAATTTAGAGGAAGATATAGTCCAACTCAATTACAAAGTTCAGCTTCCATGGTCAATGGTTCAGAGCAGGGTTAGAGATTCAGGACTAAGTCTAAAATGCTAACAATAAAAGTGGCAGTGGCAAGATGGAGTTTCAGTCTTGGTTTCCTAATCAAGACTATTCCTTAGCCCTGTAGCCACGGACAGTAGACATGCCACAGGGATGACCCTACGGCAGCGACAGAAACACAAGAAAGCATTATTTTCTGTCCACTGTCAGTAGACTGTTCACTCCCATAATAGAAGAAGAGTCAGATTTTCTACATCTTTCTGACCCCAATATTCAAGAAGGTAAGTTTTTCCTTGGTTAAACCAGTCTTGAGAGAACTGATTTATGCTTTTGAACTGTGGTGTTGGAGAAGACTCTTGAGAGTCCCTTGGACTGCAAGGAGATCCAACCAGTCCATCCTAAAGGAGATCAGTCCTGGGTGTTCATTGGAAGGACTGATGTTGAAGCTGAAACTCCAATACTTTGGCTACTTGATGTGAAAACTGACTCATTTGAAAAGACCCTGATGCTGGGAAAGATTAAGGGCAGGAGGAGAAGGGGATGACAGAGGATGAGATGGTTGGATGCCATCACTGACTCAATGGACATGAGTTTGAGTGGACTCCGGGAGTTGGTGATGGACAGGGAGGCCTGGCCTGCTGCGGTTCATGGAGTTGCAAAGAGTCGGACACAACTGAGCGACTGAACTGAAATGAGGGAACTGAGAACTTAAGTGTAAAAGGACTCTCTACTCTCTGTGTCATCCTTTCCTTCCTTATGTGCTGATAAAGATACACCTAAGCCACTGTTTAGAGGATTTTTCTTTTCCTTTGCACAAACAGCTTGGTTAGACCAGTTTTTGGAGAAATCTGATGAAGAGTTGAGGGACTGTATCTGATTTTGCATTGTGGTCCATACATATTAGTTATATCATTGCTCAGTGTGCCTGCATGACCCTGAATTAAAGAAATGCATATAGCTGAAATAATTTTCAACTTTTTATTGAGTTGTTTAAATACTCTGTCAATATACACATGAACATAAGTGTATGGGATTTCTCCTGTCTGTGGAAACCCATAATTGCCTCTCCCATTCACCTA